GCAACCAATTGGTTGTGAAGCAAAGTATTGCTCCTATTGAAAGCAGAACTTAAATTCCAGTGACTACAGATTGCACAGAGACCAAACCCTATTTTAAGTTATATCTCTCAGATGAACTATAATACCTGAATAGTGGATAGAGGAGTAGAGTAATTTTTCAGGAAACTCTGCCATGAAGGTGTTTTTGTGATTGCTGTGACTGTGTTGCAACATCATCCCTTAAGCAGGTTTTTCAAAAGAGGAAGGTTTTGGTGATGAAATTATAACAGCTTCATGGGTATGAGACTCAGGAACAGTCACAGGAAAATCCCTATATTTTTATGCCTTATTTCTATGAGAATTTCTTGCTCAATCAGGAAGTCTCATTAAAATAATGGAGAATATGAACAAGAGAATGAGGATTAATTGTATGAGTAACACTGCAGACATAGGTACAAAATACTTTTTTCTAGAACATGGCTTATTCAACTAGCATCACTGACTGGAATCATATTTAAAAGCTTCTGTGTCTCTGACTGCCTGTCTGTCTTTTGAAGGGTGGGCAGTAAGCTAAGGAAAAGAAACAATTTTAACAAGCAGAACAGATCCACAATAGTGCATATTATTATGATGCGTGCATTGCGAAGAAGGTTGTTCCAAGAGCCTGTTTACAAACAACAGTGGAACGGAGAGGTACTAAAGTAGTTTTGAACGATCAAGTTGCTGTAGTGAGGAGCTCAGTGCAAGCCAAATCATCTGGAAAAAACACAGGTCTGTACAAGCAAATGGCCTTATAAAAACTTAAAAACAAGGAAATGGCTAACATGAATGATTAATGTGCTAGCAGGGCTACTCAGAGTTTTCTTGTACTACTCTTGTATCTCACCCCTACATCCATGGGATGTGAATGAGATGTTCCTTAAGAGACACCATCTCTCATTTAGATGTAAAGCTACTGCTTCAGATAAACTGCAGCAAAATTTTAACAAGGACAGCTCCCATCTCTCTTGAGAGCATACTAGTTTAACTAGTACCTGCCACTACCTGAGACATACTGTATTTCAACGCTCTTCCTTATTTTTCTGTCTACCATTCAGCTCCCAACTAAGGAGTTGTCATCAGCATGGGTGGTTTAACACTCCACTCGCAAACAAAACTATTCATCATTTTCACTCCTTCTCAATCATTGACAAAGTGAATGAATATGTTCACAACCTTTATCCTGCTTGGAGAGAGCTAATTTGAGTGTGATTCTTTGCACTTAAGCACAAAATGCAACCATGTCAAAAACATTTAAAATTGTGGTTGGCACACAGTTGGGTGAATCCTTGAAAAAGTAAGCACAAGCTAGACTGCAACATTATCTTCCATGGATTCCCAATTTCTGTGTCAGATTAGCAGTAACAGGAGAAAAAAAAAACCTCACTAAAAGATACTGGGTAGAGGTTGCTGATGTGCCCAGGTGCCTGTGCTTGATGGGAAGCTGCTGGAGGCCCTGTGGTTCTGGGATCTGCCCATTCAGATCAGAGAGTGGCTGAGTTTGCGAGCTTGCACAGGAGACTGTGGGCTACCTCCTCTAGTAATCAACTACCTCAAATTCATACTAATGTAAAAGTTTGTCTGGGTTTGCAGCAGGCAGTGGTGGCATGCTGTGTACCCAATGTCCCTCCTGGGCTGCCACAAGAGCAAAATGGACATGGTGCTCCTTTTCTCCCTGCCCCCACCATACTTCTAAGCTTCCATGGATGTTTAGAAGGGCTACTGTACCATGGCAGGATGCCTCTGCAGCCTTGCTCTGTTGCCAGAACATATCTGGGCACTGGTACAGGGCAGGGAGTGAGTGATTGCATGTGGCAACAGCCAGTTGCTATATGCAAACTTTCTTTTGTAGCTCAGAGTCTGATGGGATTGCTAAGGATTTAACAGCTCTGATATTGGGGCTGGCAATACTCATTGTATCTCTGCTAAACTGAGCCCAATGCCCCAGACAAGTGATCCCCCAGTAGCCTAGTGTGTCCCCACACTTCCCTGCCTTATGTGCATCTGAGTTGGAGATGTGGGTACTTGGATGATGTTACTGATGTTGTTACTTGGAGTGAGGTGGAAAAAGCGGTGTTTCTGGATGTGAATGTTCTCATGAGAGTTTTTTTGTGGTATCCAGGAACAAGGATCCTGGATAAGTACCAGAAGCTGCAATCTCTTGCACTTACCATCAGGGGAGAAAAGCCATAGGAAAGGGGAATGTTAAAAAACAGGTGAGGTTCAGTATGGGGGAAATGGCAAGAGATGGAGAGCAAGGAAAGAATATTTTGTCAGGATAAACGTAAAGCTAAGGAAGGACCACCCAAAACAGCATGCTGGTAGAAGACAGCAGCTGTGGAAGAGCAGGCACCATCTAGCTACTTACCAACATGAGTCCTTGACATTTTGAAGTCTTCTACTGGCACATAGTTGCTAGTGTGAACTTTAGGACCAGCACTGTGCTTGGCAGTGGTGCAGACTGTTCCCCCATTGGGATCCCTGTGTCCCACTTAGTTGCTGCAGTGCACTAGATGTACATCTTCTGGTTTGGTTCCACCAGAGAAGGAATCCTGAGATTGCCTATATCCCAAGTCATGCATATGCTGTGACCATATCACATGAAAGTGGGGACAAGACTTTGGCTTGGAAGATGTTTCAGTAAAGTTACCCTGAAGGTCTCAGCAGCATGAACTGTGGAGGCACACCTCTGCCATGGTGAACACAACCTACTTTCTGCTCTGTGTGAGCACAGAGGGGAAAGATGGCCCAGTGGTTATGCTGCTGGCCTGGGATTTGGGACTGACCTGCACTGTGGTTGTGCACGCTTCTTGTGAGACCTGGGGGAACTGATTTAGGGACAGTCACTTCAGGCCTACATACTTTGCAAATACTTTCCCTTAATTTCCCCATGCTTCCCTTTCTTATCTGAAAAGTGACTTTCAAGAATTTTCTGTCACATGGGAGTCATGTGGGAGATAAATGATCTGAGTTAAATACTAAAGATAAGACTGTTATTTGAAAACCAGGTGAATGGGAATTGAAAGTCTTTAGCTTTTAAGGGGCTAAAAAAAAAATCTTGGTCTTCATTGCATGTCTCTGGGTAATAAGCACGCTATTTTAAGATTTGGGGACCAAACAGCTTTGTTTTGTTTCATCTGAACTGAGATTATCATGACTGTCTGAAACTACAAATGCCTGTTTGATTTAGTTTTCATGGTATGCTGTCCATCCAAACTGGTCCTTAAATGCTTTCTGCTTGCCTGGAGGCCTCTACTTGTTCTGACAGCTGGACCACTGACTGACATCATTATCTCCTTTGATATGCCTGAAAAGCTAAAAAGTAGTATCTTGGTTAAACTTGGACAAGAGGTTTTTGTTAAAGCTGGGAACTGAGTCCCAGGCTAACACCCTGTGCACTGAGAGTTGCTCAGAGCTCTGGATCTGACTTAGATACATTCAAGTGAGTGTCTGATACCCTATGCTACACTTACAAGTTTGGATTCAAAATCCTGGACAACAGCAGCCCCTGAGTACGTCTGTCAGACCTGCATGGCCATTTTTGGCTGAGCACCCTAAAGTGATGGCAGAAAAAATAAGGAAGAGGAAACATACATATCTACTGTGGAAAGGTTGCATCTTTTGGATACAAAGAGAACAGGAACAAAAAAAATGTTACACCAGTGTACAACACAGGAAAGCATATGGCCATGATCCTGGAAGTAAACAATGAAATACGCAGCCTATGTAAGCTACACAGTACAGTACAACCAATGGCAAGCACCTAAAGCTTTCTGATTGTGGAGAACATATCTTGTCCCAGGTTTATCGCTTCTGTGGCAATGGACTATAATAAGATCACGGCAAACAGCTTCCTGGAAAAGTCAGCTAGCGACAAATAACATATGATGATTATTATACCATAGATATCTCTATCAGTAATCATTTGTGCATCTTGTGAATGCCAGTTATAAAATATAGTTATTGGAGAGCAAGCACTATTCTCACAGAGAGTTACGTGATAATCTGAAAGCAGGCTGGCCTTGCAAAATGGACCCAGTGTCTGCTGCTCAGATTAAAGCAGACATACTCTGCCTCTCTGTTACTGCTCCCTGTTTTCGTCTCCCACAACTTACAGTAGGGAGAGGGTGGAAAGAAAAAGAAAGACGGGAGAAGGAATTTATCCTTGCTGCCATTTATCATATCCCTGCTTTGGGCTGGTGTGAAGCTCTAGGGAGTCAGAAGCAGTAAAGTCCTACCACATGTTTCTAAAAGCAATGTGCATGGATAAGTCCTTTGCATCTTCTGACCCTTTCCCAGTCATATGGACAAGGTAAAACTAATTGTAAATACACAAGGTAAAGATGAAAATACTGGCTCTAATTCCATTTCTCTGAACAAATCCTTGACCTTGTATGATGGAGTTTAGGCAGTAGTTATGGGAGCATGGGTTTTTTTGCAGGTGTTATGGGAGAGCTCATGTGTGTGCATGTATGCGTGCCCACAGAAAAGCACATGAAGACTAGAAGCAGATTCTAGCCTGAACTCAGATTTTCTGGCTCTGGATTAAATAGAGAGGGAGTAACTGACTTCTACTTGTGGAATAATAAAATTCCCCCAGCAAAATTAACATCTTGAAGAAATAAAAATTAAAATATGTAAGCATTGTAGTGAATGTGTTTTCTACAGGTAAAAGGCTTAAATCACCTGAAGTGTCCAAGGATTTCAATTTTAACTTAGATCCCCTAGGCTTCTTCCTTCTCAGATGTAGAACAGTAATGCACATCCTGCATGGCAGAGTCACCTCTCTCTCAATAGTCAAAAAGGGCAAGTAAGCTTATTTGGTGGGTCAGCCTTTTATATCGATTATGATCCAATTAAATTTTCTATCTAGGCTTTGTCAAAATCAACATCAGATATGTGCCTCTGTGCATGTGCATGAATGCGCACACTTGTGCGTGCATGTGTGTGCCTGCAGAAAACAACAGTGAAGGTGTACTCACCCGGAATCCTGTTGAGCGTCACCCAAAAGTGCTCATCGGGGCTGTAGGTGTCCTCGGACCAGGCCAGCAGATCAACAGCACGCTGGTCCTGCAGCACGAACTCCACAAAGGGATGGCTGATGGCCACATACGCAGAGCCAAAGTAGATGGTCAGGTTGTGTGGTGGGGGCGCCTTGCGCACAAATGTCCACAGCATGAAAGAAAAGAAAGAGTATAATTGCTCCCTGTGCACATATTTGGTGCGTGCAGTGATGTGGGGGGGTGGCAGCACCCCAGGGGTGATGTTCTTCCCCCCGAGGCCCTTCAGCAGGCGGACAATCTCCCTGTTGGTCTTCAAGGGGAAGTCCTGGCCGCAGGTGTTGAGCAGGTATCGCCAGGGCACAGCTGAGGCCAGCAAGTCTCTCATGCAGTGGAGGTCGGCCCGCAGGCGGGACACGCCGCCGTAGACCACCCGCTCTGCCCGGGAGGCGAGGAAGGCATTGGGGAAGCAGCCCACCAGGTGCTGCACAGCCTGACGGAACGGGGCCGGTGCCTTGGCATCCACGTGGACACAGTAGATGTTTTGGGGCATGTAAACTGCTCTGAAGAGCCGCTCAAAGGTCTCGAAATCCTTGTGCAGGGTCATGACATAGGCGATGGGGAAGGCAGCTTCCTCGGCCGAGAGGGCGCGGGTGATGTAGTGGTTCTGTGTGACATACTCCGTGCATCTGGATTCTCTGAACGATGTTTTTAAAGCATTTTCCTTCAGAAAAGATACTTTATCTTCAACAAGTGATTTACAGGCTTCTGCTAAAGCTGAACTCACTGAGAGGTTCAGTCTCCTAAGAGAGTTTTGTGCATGCAAACTAACAGCATAGAAAACAAATGGAAGCGTAACACTGAGAATCAGGACAGCAAAGAAGCAATATCTGAGTGTATTCATTGCTGCTCAGAAGAAGAGTCTCACTTGAAATATTGCAAAGAAGTCAGATCAAACACCACAGCTTGTTTTGCTGGCTGCGCTTGCTTCCTGCTGGAGAACGCATGCATCCATCTGACGCATAGTATGCAGCTGCTGTCCTTACTTTCAATATTAATACTTCCGTGGTCATGGATGTAGAAGCAGCATAAGTAGCAAACAACTTGCAGATGGAAGCTGCTCCACAGCACCCTGAAGATTAAATAGACATATTGCATAATTACAGGCTTGGCAATGAACAGCCACCACTACATATTTCAGTGTCCCTGAATTCAATTTATGGGTATGTTCTTAACTGCTCCCTCCCCACTCTCCCTGCATGTATCATATAGCTGTAGAACTTCTCATGCATGCACCCTGTGATAGGAAAACCTCATATTTACCTCTTGTATAATTCTATTTTTTTACTTAGAGAACTTTTATTTTGAACGACCCAAGTGTGTCGGTCATCACTGCTTCAGAATTATGAAAGGCTTGTTCAGCAGACCATGCTACCCTGTAAGGCCACCAACAGTCACATAAAAGAAAGAGGAGAATCATTTTGCCTCTGTGTAGAGTTATATCAGAGCCATTTTTCAGTAATGTTTTCTTCATCTGTAAATTTGAAATCTGTCAGTTTCTGTTAGGTGTTATGGGTGAGTTGAGATGAGCTCCAAACTTACATCCATCACAAGGAAATGAATAAAACCTGCTATTTAAACTACTTAAGCTAACCTTAGGCTTTCTGATGAGACATTCTTGTTTCTAAGAGCCATGCATGCATTTGGTGTAACATGCTTATGCAATGAGACCTTGTGGCATAGCTCTGACTAAAGTGAAATACTTGGTAACTTGCTCTCTTCCAACTGTGAGTCTGTACATGTGGATCTTCTGCCATGAGACAGCACGTTTGGGGCATATAAACTTTTTCCAACATCATGTCCTTTTGCTCCAATGAAACATAATGCTGAGGCAATATCAGATGATCTGAGATTATGCCAATATATGTTTTGATTGGGCAGTCCAGCATGCTACAGAGGCAGAAACATCATCACCTACCTTCCAACTCATGCAGACAAGTCACCTCAGCCACTAGCAGGTCCCTCCCAGAAGCTGCACTTTCCTCCCTCCAAAGAGTCTCCGGGATTCTCTGTTCAAACAGATTGAAGGCTGCAGGCTTCAGCCCATTAGCTGCAGTCACAGGCTGTAATGAGGAGAGGAGCACTGGAGAAGCTCTGTAAGGACTTGTGGCCAGAACATCCCAAAAGGGGCACTGGTGCAGGACAGACTTGGCCGTCAAGCTTACCTGGTGACAGCAAGGGGCAGAGCCGCTGCTCACCGGGGAGTGAGCATGGACAGGTGAGGATAGCAATGGTCACACTGGAGATCCAATGCAGCCTTTTCCACAGACACCAGCGCCTTTGGAAAGAGGACTGTTCTGATGGAGCTGAGAGGCTGGAACGGAGGTGTGCAAAGTCCCAGGCAGTAATGGAGACTCACATGATGGTGTTGACAAGTCATCTGGAAAATGCTGCCACAGCCTAACAGTACAGCTTGTTAAAAGATGATTCAGAGAGATGAGCAGATGCTGAGATGAGACTGCTGTCCAAGTCTAGCAAAGAGGTGCACAACAAACACCACCATGAGGGGAAAATATGTCCCAGCTCAGTTATCGGTGAATGCTATCCTAGGGAGCCTGTGCTGGAGTGCTTCAAACCACTGCTTCTCCCTTATTTGATTGTTACAGTGAATTACATCCAGAAGCAAACAACACTCACCTGCCTGACACCTTAGTAACACAAACTGCCATGACCACAGGTGACTATAAGGTCATCAGCCTCTTCCTCTCTTCTGTCCACTCCACAGACCATTGAGGCCAGTGTCTTCCTACCTGCTCAATGGGCCAACTGGCTGCAAGACCATTTCTTCCCCTGTGCTATGGTCTTAACATGAGACCTCTATCCAGCTGGAGTTAGGAAAACATGGGAGAGGGAAACTGGGGACAGGTGCCAGCATTCCTGCAGGAGCCAGGATTTTCTTAGAGGAGTATCAGCTGGGGGCAGAGAACACAGGTACTACAGAAAAAGAGACTAACAAGAGGTCTTTAGCTGATACCTTGGGGTGACTTAAGGTGAACCAACACCAAATAGTCAAACCACACAAATTTCTTGATTACACATTTGAATCACCTGAGGATTTAATTTTCTGGCAATAAAGCAAAGCAATTACCCTTTGTGCCTGAGGTTACTGAAAAGAAAGAAAGGACAGAAAGGGAAGAAGAAAGGAAAAGGTGAGAGAGAGTTCACCACCCTGGGATCCAGCAATGTCCTGCACAGTCAGGTCTGAGGGCGGTGAGTGCACACGCAGCAACGCAAAACCTGAGTATTCAAGCATAAAAGTCTCCACCCTATATCCTCTCTCATATTATGATAGGGAGGAGTTGCCATTATGAAAAGGGGCAGGCGCTAAGGGTCTCACATCATGCACTTGGTTTGTGTTCCAAGAGGCCTGGGTATGCACAAATCAAACTGGTGGTTTGTCAGATGGCAGGAGCCCCCAGCGTTCCCAAGGAAGTTGTGTGCCACAAAATTATATGTTGGTTCTGCTTAGCCAGTTTTCGACAGTGCTGCATCCTCTTGTTGAGGGCAGGGTTGCTTTAGGAAACAGCCATATCCTGTTGTGGAGGGCAGGGTCTGGGTTGCTGTAGAAAGCAATTTGTTTAAGACAATAAAGGTCTTACACGGCTCCCACAGTAGCTTTTCTGAAATACCAAAGGCTGAAATCCTCCAAGACTTTTAGATGCCTTTGAAACTGTCTGCTCAGATGCCTTTAAAACTATTTTAGGTACTGTATAACCTGCCACACAGCCAGGAAAACTTTTAAGAACTGAAAAAATATCTATCTAAGGAGACTGTTTTCTCTTAGGTGTTGAGGTTTGCATTCTAGTGTGGTCCGTAGAAAACAAGGAAGGTACATGGAGGAAACAAGAGATAGGCCTGCTCATCATAGGAGTGAAATGCAAGATTTAACTTTGCTTTGGTGTGTTTTGTTGTTGTTTTTTTTTTTTTTCTTGAACAGACATTGCTACAGCACCCTTGCAGCAATCCAGACTAACCATGATCCTGCAGTACTACTAGCCTTTGGGGAAAGAAGCTGCGTGTTTGGTGCTACTTCTTAATGCTGGTGCCTCAATTGTCTGACACAGTTAATATTTAAAAACCTGAGAACGTACATGCAAATGATTGCTGTGGAAACCAAGCTCTCAAAACCTTTGGGCTTTTTGTATTATTTTTTTTTTTTACTAGTTCTACCTTGTGCTGATCTTCGTGAAATAAGATCCATGCCTCGGATTACAGGCAGAAATCACACAAACACACACAAAATAAAAGAGCAGCAAAACAAAGAAATAGAGTGTACAAGTCACATGAGCCACCTCAATGAAAAAACTCTTTCTCAGGTGTTGGTGAACTGTCAATTTTACAGACTCATCTGAAGTTCAGATGCAAGGAGCAGCCAAATCTGGACCTAAATCTGAACCATGTTAACAGCAAACATCAGTGAAAAAACAGCAAGGTGGCTGGAGACCTCATGAAGCCCATGGTTTCTCCTGTTGCAGATTGTATTGGACCTTGGCATATTTTGGGTGCAAAACCAGTTACTGGACAAAATTATAATAGGAGATCAATTACCATGCTATTTGACAGAAGCTGTGTAAAAGGGTTTTGTGCTGGTTGAAGTAAAATGGTTGCTGACTGAGACTTGCAGTGCCACTCCTTTCTATTGTTCCCTGGACCTGCATTGTAGCAATTCTTGTTTTAACATGAGAGCAGCTTTTGGTGTGGCTCCTGCAGTGGAAACACATTCCCCAATAGAATTAGAGATTGAAATGTCTTCCCTGTGCATGAATGGGAACAGACCTTTCCAGACAACAAGATACTATTATTGGAACATAGTACTCGGTAAACTGCTCCTGGCTTTTATAAATATAGGTAATTGGTTTCAGCTAATATGCTAGCTAATTAAAAAGCAAGATGCACAGGCTTTGCACAGGCAAGATGCACAGCTTTGAGTTCCTGTTTGGCACCGGTCAGTAGTGACAAACGTTATGCATTTCATGTCTATCTGGAGTCACTTGGCATTTTCTATTTTATTGTTAGGAAGAAACCATCTGTATCATGACATTCCTTTTCATGACCCTTGCATGCAAAGCTGTCAGCCTCGCATGCAAAGCTGTCAGTTTGAATTGGCACCGTCGTTAAAATCACAGTGAGTCTGGTGCAAGGAAACAATTTCTCCTCAGTGTGTTTTTTCTGGTTAGGAAGCACAGGCAGCCACAGTTCAGTGTCCTGTGTCCAAGTAAAGGTTTTCCTCATCCCTCACACCTTCTCGCACCAAGATGAAACTTCTCAGATCATGCAATATGCGGTCTCCCCAACCTCGAAACACTCCTCTTGGAGCAGCCCTGCCTGGCAGCAATCTCCTCTAAGGCGTGCCTTACTCACATGCTCCGCCTGAGCTGGGAGATACATAGGCACTGTGTAGCACAGGGAAAGAGAAAGCAGAGTCTGAGAGCAGGAGCAGTGAAAGTTTATTCCTGTATCTTCTCCTCTGCCCTCCCTTTTTTCCTGTTCCGAGCAACCCCTCCCATTCATGCACTTCCCAGCCAGTAACTGGCTCTTCAAAGAGAAGAAAACACAAGCGTACCTGAAATAGGAGCTCCCAGGCAGACGCACTGACACCGGACAGTCACAACCCAGCAGCACTCACAGCGAATGGGAGGAGAGATGAAATGACACATCAAGGCAAACGCTAGCTCAGCTCACATGGTCCGGTAAAATCATTGAGTAATCTAATCGTACGCAGTCAGTGAGCACATCTGTCTGCACAAACAGCACGGGCCAGACAATATACTATCTTATCCACTTTTGTTTTGCCATGCGCTCGAGCTCCAGACGCAGACCTCTTAGACTGTGGGAACTTCACTGCTTGTCTGAATTTTCAGTAGACTTTTAGATATAAAGGTTTCAGGAATAGTTAAGCTGCCTAGTCTCTAGCTGAGTGCATTTTGCAAGCTAGACTTGCTATTGGGCAAGAGCACTCTACTTTTCCCTTCTCCAATTAATTTCCAACAGGGACACATACTCACCTCTGTGCAAACTACTCCTCATCAGCTGCTCAGGAGCAACAGCACGGCATTCTCTTCCCTGCTCATTTATCCTCCTGCGCAGAGAAAGCAAGACGTAATTAAACATGTCCTAATAGAGGACAGGCAGGCTGTGGTGGTAAGGTTGGTTTTCTTCTGTTAAATATGACTGGATTTTATAGGTGGCACTGGTGTGTTCGAGGCATGGAGAGAGATCTGTTTTCTTACTGCAGATTAATGTACGCATTGGTGTATTAGAACAGCGTCCAAAGGTTGCTTACACTGGATTTTGCAAACATCTGGGAGCCAGTTAACTTTATGAACGTGAACCCAAGGTGTTCCCCTCAGTGGGTAAAGTGGGGCAGCTGGTGTCAGACCCTTAGGGAGGTGCCAGGTCAGGGCAGCATCACTGCAGCCCAGTCCCTGAGTGGCCAAGGGCCCACTCCCAGTCATGTGCCTTAGCAGCTAGAGGAGTAAAGCAACTCCATCTGCAGGGTGGGAGTGACCTGCTCTGCCAAGCAAGGCTAACCACAGCCTTGCCTGCTGGTACGGGTGTCTGGCTATGCCAGACAGCAGCTACGTGGATCACTCCTTTTATTTCTAATGGTGCCACTAAACTTTTAGCATTATCGGGCTCCTTATTCTGGCAATATAACCTGTTGCCAGGTATGACATGAGCAGGAAGTCCATAGGCATCTAGAACACATCACCTGTCAAGAAGGACAGGAAAACATAATTTGTCATTTCAAAAGAAAAAAATAGCCACAAAGTTTTCAAATATGTAAAAAAACAAAACCAGAAGCAAATCCCGATGCAAATAGAAAGGGAGTAGCTGATTCTTCATGTTCTCTGTGCATATGACGAGAACTAATCATCTTAGATAGCATCAGGAGAGGTGAAGATCAGACATTAGGGAAGCTTTGTAGTGATAAACATTTAAATGTGGATTAGATTGTCTGGAGAGGCTGGAAATTTTCTTGCTGGTGGTTTTCAGGAGCAGGTTAGGCATAGGTTTTTCAGCAGTTTTGCAGGTCATGCTGGTCCAGACCTGGTAACTTTCTAGGTCTGTTCCAGCTCTCTTTCCTATGATTGTCTGTATTACAGTATCTCTTAGCTGGGCTAGGGATCCTATTACATCTAGGAACTGTCAACAAAAGTACTTGGTCATCACTTAGAAATATGCTCATCATCTCTGCTAATTACCATTAGCATTGCAATTTTGGTAAGATCAGGATAGTCCTGGACCACTCTAGAAGGAAAGGTATTTGTATGATTCTTCTGTGATTAATCCTAAGCATAAAGAAAAAACATTTAATAAATGATAAATCTGTAACTGTTTACCTATGGACAGGTATTTCACCTCTCATGTCTTTTCTCATCAGAACACAAATGAGCTTGATCCCTGCTCCATCTTTTTGCTCAGTTTTCTTTCAGTGAATTATCAGGATCCTCTTTCAGAAGGCTGTGGTAGGTATGTGCTGCCCTTAAAGTCTTCCTGGCTGGGACAGACTTTTATTATGTTTAGGTAGAGCCAAGCCAGGACTTGCTTTGAAAAGGTCTCTTTCCCACCCCACCAGGCTGTGAGCAATGGTGAGGTGCCACCTAGCTTGTAGGGCTCTGGAGCCTCCCAAAGGGCTTTAGGATTGAAAGTGTCCCCATCACACTGTACTCCAGGTCTGCTCAGGAGATAATGTTAGACATCCGTGACCATTAGAACTTGGCAGGTTCTCAGCGAGTAATGACAAACCACTGGCAGATGTAACTTGTGACGAGCGACAAATGCTGGCTGCCAGACTGGAGAAGAAATTGGCCAGTGCTGCACAGCTGCAGTTTTCTTTCCACCAGTGGAAATGCTGCCTTTTTAAGCCCAAAGTATGATGTTTTTCTTAAGGTTTGGCCTAAGATCTTTCAACTTCTGTTGCCTCATTTTCCCTTTGGAGGCTTTACTGTGTGCCAAGGTCTCCTCTTTGTATAACCAACAGTCTGGGCAAAGCAATCCATGCTGGTGAGCCGTCTGCCTCACATTGCATAAGCCCCAAACTCACACTTAAAATTGCCACTGTCCTGCTGTGAAGACAGTCTTTATTTTTCCCCTGTCCTTGTCATCCACATCAAATAACCAGAATCACCCTTTTCAGAAGGAGTTCAGAAGGAGCCCTGCTTCAGGCTCTATCAAGTCTTCACATCCATCTCCACATCCTTTACCTGATTATCTCCTGCTGATGTATGCACACCCGAAACAGTGTTTCAAATTGCCAAGCACCTTCCTGTTTGCCTTTGCCTTGGGTGGAGGTTCATGCTTATGTTCTGGTCCCTTGTTCTACTGCTTACGCAAAAACTTTTTATGGCTCTCTTACGGGAAGGGCAGTAGCTGCAATCACCAGTCTCCATGGGGTCAAAGACAGACCTTGATGGCATTACCGAAGCTGGGACAATCTAGTCTTCCCATATTGGGTTGCTGGAAGGTTGTAAAGAGGCTAGAAAACTACTGGAAATCTCCTGCCTTGCACAACATCACATTCCGCAGCTACAGCAGCCAGCCTCATGTTGTCTGGTCCCTTCCTGCTAAACTGCCTCTCCCAGACTAGGGTTTTCTTATTGGGTTCCCCAGTTACCATACATAGCTGGCAGCTGGTAACCTGGCGTGGGTTTTCTGTCCCGTGATGGGTTATTTCATGATGCTTTCTGAGACGTTCCTTTTGCAGCATGCCTGGATCCTGCCTTGAACTGCAATTCCACTTGGCAGTCTCAAAATTCTGCAAGTGTCTGTTTCTTTTCTTGCAGTTTGGCTCAGTTTCTCTGTTTTGGAAAGACTTACAGTTTCTTGCCTGTTGCTCACACTGATAGCACTCCTTGGCTGGAACCCCAAGCCTATATTTAGGTTAGCTTTTGCTCTACTCCTTTTTATTTGCAAAGAATGTGCACAAAGGCCTCCTTTTCCCCACACCTAAGCAAGAAGAAGAAAACAGTCAGCTTTACTCCTAAGCCTCTACTTGCTCCATCTCTGTGTGGGCTGCATTCTAGTGACTGGTCAGGTCCATGAGAGAGGACTGTTCTTGGATACTCAGCAACTACGTCCATCTCAGAAGACCCTGGTCTGCAAATGGTGGAAGGCTGGAAGGCTGTCAGGAAAAATGCCATATTTGCTTGCCCTGCTCCTTTGCTCTTCGGTAGGCCTCAGCACCTGCTGGGGACATAACACTGGGCTGGGATGTTATGACCCTCCTAAGTTCCCGCTCCCTCTCAGAGGTGCACAGAGAGTTGCTTTTCTCCCTCTCAGATCCTTTTTATATACATGCATACAGCTCAAGACAGCTGCAAACGCTGCCCTGTGCCAGGCCATTGGTTGTCAGTGGATACGAGGTTTCTCCAAGTCAGGTCTTGCTCAGGACATTACGTGCAAGTCAGTGTCTCGGACAGGGCTTCTGTTGTTTCAGTGATGACTAAACAGCATGGGAGTTCGAGCTGCTCCTGGTGGTTAGCCTGAACAGACCACAGAGAGGCACATTGCCATCCCTCAGCAGGCTCTGAGGTTTCTTACATACTCAGCTTGTCATGTCCAGCATGAGGCCACCATGTCCTTAATCAATGCTGCTGTTCTTGAGTGACTTGGCTTCTCTGTCAGAAAATAGTGGCTGAATTCATGCAACTGTATTCAGACAGTCCCATCTCAAAAATTTCAGCCAGGCTATCTCATAGTGGAAGTATGACTCTTTCCAGGGCCATTAGCTGTGGGATCTCCAGAGTTATAGCCACATTAATCATTAATTCCCCAAGAAACTGCCCTACCCCATTAAATACACTGGCATATTTTTTAATAAGGTCACCTGCCTTGTGTCGGCTGAGATGGAGTAATTCCCACTTTCATTACCAGTTTGATCAATTTAATATCCAGCCTGCTTGGGGACTAAGCTCTAGTGATGCCGCTGTGTGTACAGCATGAAATTTGTGGTGTTTTACATCCTATTCAATTGGGTCTAAAAGCACACCATGTCTGTCGATGTCTTCCTGCTTTACCTTCCTCTTGCAAAGGTGGATTCCTACTCTCTCTTCCTTCAGCCAGCCCTGCTATTGCCACACCAATGTGGAAAATTACATAGCCAGTTGGGGAGCTGAAGCCTCTGCAGGTTCTCACTTTCTCCTTGGGACCTGACTGTTTCCATGGGGACACCAGGAAGGTGGTCCTCTTCCTGTTGGCTGCCTGATCTTAAGTATCATGTACTCCACCCTGGTTTCAGCTGCATAGACCTAGGGGTTGTGTATCAGCTCTTTGTGGCAAAATTGTTGCAGGCCACCATCCTGTCCCCCAGCAGTGTGTCCTTGGCATTCACCAGCCAGCACCTTCTGTCCTGTGGTGATAATCTCCGCTGTGGCAGCAGGACCTGCTTCACAACACGGGGCCAACAGCTATATTGGGGCTTCCAGAGTAACTTCAGTGCTGCCCCATCTATGCAGCTTTTGCAGAAAAAAACCCAGTCCTTCTGACTCTTTTTATGCAACCACTTAAACCCAAGCAGTTGGTTTTTGTTTTGGTTTGTTTGTTGGGTTTTTTTTTCATCCAAATAGTAATGGAAAATTACTGCCATTAGCTCATTTGGGTTGGGCTTTGGTCCTT